GGGGGGGGGGGGGGGGGGGGGGGGGAGAAAAAAAAAATGCCCTGGAACAACTGAGATCGAAAAGGCAAAATATAGTAAATAAGTTATTCTCTGAATCATGCCACCACAAAGGCTTTATTTGCTCTTATCCAAAGAAGGGAGACATTTTAAAACATGTTTGACATTAATTCAAAATGATGGAACATGGCATGTTGGTGCAAACTGAATATTAGTGCATTTTGAGCATACGTTTTTCCATCTTAAACTGTAAAAGAAGGACAATTAAAAAATCAAATCAAAATAGCAAGCTATATCTTTTAGTTGGACCATAAGCGTTGTCAGATTCTACAGTGGACACATACTTGCCCAAGTCAAATTTAAGTATGCTTTTTCTTACTTCTCATTAACAATAATGTAAATACACTGGGTTAAAGTTTAGAGTTCTTTTAGTATTAAAACTATTTTTGTACTTATATTGACATTTTACACATACTGTAATTAGGTTTTTGGTAAATTTAACTAACATGGCATTAAGTTACATTCATAACAGGGAATAAGTTATGAATGGGGTTAACTTTTAACACTGGTCTAAAAATGATGCATTTTAGTTTTATCATCATTTCAGAGTGTATATTTTGGTCTGGACAAGAGCAGTGGGAATAATCTATTTTAACATCGAACTTTAAACACAGGCAAACACATAGAAAGAAAGTCTAAATACTCCTCTAAAGCATTCTTTTTAGCGGAGGCATTTTTTAAAATGGTGCTAGTAATCAAAATGAAAAACTCAGCAAGAAAAAAAATAATAAAAGCCAGTTAATGTATAACTTATGATAAAACTGAGTATTGAAATATACTTAGGATGCAGGACAAGCACAGTCTGTACTGTCTTGCTATTAAGTTCCTCTAGAATACACATGGACATTATGTAAGACTGAGACAGTATTACACAGCTGTATCTTTACTGCACAGAAGGTGTGCAGCTTTGAGCTTGGCTCTTCCTAGAGCTGCTAGTTTTCTTTCCCCATAGCAGTCAAAACACACCATAGTAGCCACTGGAAAATGGTAAGTAAATTTAATAGTGAAAATTTTCACAAATTTGTAGGATGCTTAAGATTTGTGCATGTCAGTTTAGACACAGGTGTACTCATGCAAACTCGTGATTAAAACTGCACTTTAACCAAAAAATGGAGAGGAGAGGAGCAAGGTGAGATGGAAAAGGTGCTAAGTACAAAAACAGATGGAAACCTAATATTTCAGGGGTGAGAAGGGAAGGGGTGGGGGAGGAGTATCAGCGAGACTGACCTGAGTTCTGTTAAAAGCCACACGTGCAAATACTGCCTGTGAGATTCCTGCTCGTTTCAATTCATCGCGTACCCACTGGTAGATTTCGGAAGACACCTCTGTGTTAGTTGAAACTTGCTGCTCCAACGGCTTGTTCATGGACCTACTGACAGGAGGAGGGTGGTTCAAGTACTGTTGGTTTAAGGACTGCTGGGCTAGAAGTCTATTCACTGCATACTGCTGGTTCAGCAACTGGGCCATTACCAGCTGCTGATTTACCAGCTGAGGGCTAATGGGAGTAGATACGAGTCCAGGGTGCAGGTTTGGAAGTGGGGTCCGAACAGATGGTTGACTACCATGAGAAAGCTGAACAGGGGATGGAGGCTGTTCGGCTGTATTCCCTGGGACTGGTTGCTGACCAAAGTTGACGTGGTTGGCACCTTGTTGGGGTAGTTCGGAAATGCTATCCATTTCAACTAGAGCGGAAAAGAATATTTAGTTAGATGAGAGCTGAACTGAAAATGCCATAACTTGATGTTCTTCACAAGTTTTAATACATCACACTTTCTCTTTCTCTAATAGAAAACCACTGCATTTAGGTTCTTGCTTACTGTATATCCCTGCATAAACTCCTTTTATGTAATTTTACATGTCTTGCTTTCCAAGGATGGCATATAGAACAAAGACCACATTTGTCATAGTACCGAGGATGACCAACCTGGAATTAAAACCCTCTTGCTTAAGAACAAGGATCATAAGGGAAGATCCCTTGTTCAAATGTTGGTATACTAAGGCTCAGATTTCCCCTAATCAAGAGAAGGAAAGCAAACAATGAAGAGAGAATGGTGAATGGGAAGCAGCTTCCCATACACCAAAGTCCTTCTGTGAGTGCAAACAACTCTAGGAGCACATGTACAAAAATTAGAAAGTGCCATCACAAGGGAACGGCCCTATTCTGCAATGAGGGTCCAGCAGCTACTTGCCTCTGTAACCCCTGGAGACTCCTCCCTCAAAAGACTTATAGTTCAGCTGGTGGAGGGAGAAAACAAGCAAGATGTGATGTGAACATCCACCTGCCTCAATTCCTGGTTGTTGCGTCAACCCTACAGGACAGTCAGAAACTGATTAAACATATGAAAATATATACTCAGACCATACTGGTACAGAGCTGGTTCAAGATCAGGTGTTAAAACACAACCACTTTCTCTCTTCTCCATACCAACCCCTGAACTACTTTTCCATTGTAGACAAAGATCTGACTGCATGCACAGAACTGGGGGAATGGGCTTTTTATCTTATAATCACCAACTTTTTTCCCCAATGATTTGCAACACAGCTGACATTTTTTATTAAATGATGACAGTTACGTATATAGTTTTAAGTTGGGGTAAAGGTGTCTTATGTCACCTTACCTACCCCATCTAAATGCATGCCTGATTCTACTCAATTTCACTTTCGCATTTTTAACAATCTGTAACTTGAAAACACTGCAAGGGAAAGAGCTGCATTTCACAAAGTTGGTGGTGGGTCTGTCAGTAGAAGAAATAAGTAGAAATGTATGAGAAGGGGTTGGGAGAGAACAATCTATGCTTTTAAAATAATTAGTGCTCTCCAAAGAGCATTATTTAGCAGATAAAAAAAATTGCCTTCTCTGTAGAAAGAAACTGCATGTGGATTCCCTCGCATACGTTTCTCCCCAATACTATCCTGTCAACGGGCAACTAAAGAAGGGGTTTTCTACTTAGAGGCCCTGGCATGCCTGCAAATTATCTCTGGTTCCTAGTAAGAGTTACACAGTTCCCTGTTGGCATGGAATCACAGCTACTCTCCTCACCAATATATATTGGCTTCAACAACCTTTCAAAAGACACAGGCGGTATAGGGTGGTGAACCAGGGGTCTGGCATTACCATTTCAAGTAATGTGACTCCTGTGCCATCAGCTTGTATATGCTCTAACTGCTTTCCTTGCACCATGCCCAGCACTCACAGCAAGATCATGGCTAGGATGGAAGAAGAGAAGGCAGTATGTGGAGATGCTTAGGGCTGCCTTCATCCTCTTTTTCAGGTGACAGGAATATTTACACACGGATCAGGCACCGATTACCACCAAATTCAATGGGCTTTGGATCCAGCCCTAACCCAGATTCAGAACGCGTAATACAACGTTCAGACTTACAGAAATGCCTGACATTGCACAGAAGCAACAAACAAGATTAAGGAAAGAAGCCTTCTATTTCCACTAACTGAAAGCAGAGATCAACCCAAGTGGGCCATTCACTTGGAATAGTAATTCAAGCAATTATCACAAAAGTGATGCATTGTCTTCATTACAGCCTTAAGCTATAAAAGGCAAGGAACCTGTTTTAGTAGATGAATGATTTTATTTTAAAAACTGAAACTAAATTAACATGTTCAAGTTTTTTTTCCAAATTAGACTCAATTTCTTCCTTCTAAAAATTATTGGAAAAGTATGTAGAAGTTGATATAAAAATATACAGACCTAGAACAACTATTTTTTTTAAAGGAAAAACCTGGTATGCCTTTTTTTCATTTAAGGAATTAATATACCCCATAAATCAATTTATTGTAATTCTATAATGTATATGCACTGCAGTCTTCTATAACGAGTACAAACTTGTCCAGTTAGTTATGAGAAGAACCTCATAATAATAAGCTGAAGCCACATCCTTAGAAGTTAGAGTAAATTATGGTTTATTTGCTAATTCATAAGCTTTTTGTTAGAGAGTGATGAGGACAGGGAAGCTTGTTTTTTTTAATCATAAAATTGCTATTAAAAAACTGCAAAAAATTTGGAATCATCCACAGTTCCTAGAGAAGTCTTTTTAACATAATTAACTAAGACTGGTGGTAGGTCCCTAGATCTGCAAAATGACAGCTTTATATCTTATTCCATGACTTCTAGCTTGTCAGATAACCCAAATCAGTTTAGCTAGTTTAATAGCAAACACTTAGTACAATTAATTCTGTTATTATACACATTCATAAAAAGCATGCCATCTTATACAACTGTGACAAACCCCAACATGACACGGTAATGGTATGTGGCTACTACCGTGACAGCAATTTTTTTTTTGCTTACCCATCATATCTTTTGCCTTCTTGAAATGTTTATACCACCTTCCAAATTCCTGACATTTTGCTGCTGAGACATTTGCATAGTAAGTGCTGTTCACAATGGAAGAAATCATACTCTGCGTGAAAAGAGGAAGAAAAAAATTATCTGTAATACATAGCAGCACAAGTTGAAACACAGAAATCATTTTGATTGTTGAAACCATAATATTTTTAGAGTTTGAGCACCATGCTACATTTTTAATCTTTTAGTCCAGAGCCTTTAACTTTTTAAAATCCATTAAATCAAGCTTAAAATCTTCTCAATTATAACATACATGGTAACAAACAAACAAAAAACCCAAACACATTCACTATGAGAAGAATTAGATTATCAATCAAAAACTTCAGAGCAATGAAGGTAGGATAAGGATTCTCAAAGGGCATTAATTCTGAAAGTATAATTTATTATTACTACTTCTGCTTCCAACTGCAATTGACCTCTCAAGCATCCAAACACTAGATTAATTTATTTCTCACTCTATGGATGGCAACAACATATCCTCACCCTTTCCCCATATACCACCAGTGTATGATATGAAACCCAGAGGCTCATACAGCCAAACAATTCAAGACAAACTACTTTGGGCTATAGTAGCATGGTTTATAGCAAATACTTCGCAAGATCTAACCCACAGTTTCATAGATTCATAGATTAAGGGTCGGAAGGGACCTAGTAGAACTTCTAGCCCGACCCCCCGCCAGGGCGGGAGAACAACAAAAAACCCCAAAAAGAGAAATGGGACTCAAACGAGTCCAGCCAGGTAGGCATCCAGCCTCTTCTTAAAGACCCCCAGGGTAGGGGCCAGCACCACTTCCCTTGGAAGTTGGTTCCAGCTCCTAGCCGCCCTAACCGTGAAGTAGTTTTTGCGGATGTCCAATCTATACCTCCTCTCCATCAGCTTGTGCCCATTACTCCTTGTTATGCCAGCGGGCGCTAGGGGAAACAGCGTCTCCCCCAAACCCTTCTGGTCCCCCCTAGTGAGTCTATAGACAGTCACCAGGTCCCCCCTTAGCCTTCTCTTGTGGAGGCTGAATAGGTTCAGGTCCCGCAGTCTCTCACTGTAGGGTCTGCCCTGTTGTCCCCGGATCATGCGGGTGGCCCTCCTCTGGACCCTCTCCATATTGTCCACATCCCTCTTGAAATGGGGCGCACAGAACTGGACACAATACTCCAGCTGTGGCCTGACCAGCGTCGCATAGAGGGGGAGGATCACCTCCTTGGCTCTACTCGAGATGCACCTGTGGATGCACGACAAGGTCCGGTTAGCCCTGCCAACCATGACCTCGCATTGTCGGCCCATGTTCATCTTGGAGTCAATAATGACTCCAAGATCCCTTTCTGCCTCCGTGCTCTCGAGTAAGGAGTTCCCCATTGTATAAGTGTGCTGCTGGTTCCTACTGCCCAAGTGCAGCATCCAGTTCATCCCAGGATATAATAAACTGATCATAAAGAACAACTTTCAGAAACAAAAATCTCATTGCCTAACTCTAACTCTAAGAGGCTAACTTTAGAATGCAAATTAGTCATAAAATGTACTAAAAATATAAATCAGACATATTTTTAATTATTAAACTTACTCAAGGATATCTTGAAAACAAAGCTGGCTAGACAGAAATAAGTGCCTTCAGCTCAATTTTAACCAATACAATGAAATTAACAACGTATAAAAGCTTCCAATAATATGCGTCCCCTCCTCCCCCACACAAAATCAATCAACAATAAAGTCTTGCAAAATGATACACTGTTTCAGGTTGAAAAATACGATCAGTATAGGATGCGTGATTAACAGAACCAGTAAATGTAATTCCAATAGACTGAACTTCAATGCATTTGGATATTTATGTGGAAAGTGGCTTCTATTAGCTTAACTAAAGGAACTGTCCAGGATATTTAGAAAACAATTACAGTGAAGAAGACAAAGCCTTGATTATTATATTTCCTTTGCTATCTTGCATATAACATTTAGTTATTTTGTGCTATGGTAAAATCAATGTACAGCATGGGGCCTTTGTTATATAAATTGTAATAACCACTAGAAGAGCCAGTTTGGGGACAAAGGCGATAAATATTACTATAAGACTGTCTATTATAAAGCTATTCCTGATCTAAAGTAGCATCATCTTGTTTATTGATTCTAGTGAAGTCCATTTTACAACATGTTGTTCAGTAACATGCTATTTCTTGGATCCCAGAACAAATGTTGGAAGTATACGCTATTAGTATTTAAGCAAAACTGATTGCCTAGTATAGAAACCTTGTTGCACATGTTTTAGAAAGTTACTACCTTTTAGCCATTTTCATGGCTTTAAACATTGACCATGCTTTTCAAACTAACTAGGAGCTCATTCTCAAGGACATTCAAAAGGAAAGAAATTTTGACTACCATAACTTTATCCTTAACTACAAGAACTAAGCTTAATTGAACCCAATTTCTATCTCAAGTACACAGACTGTATGATTATGAATTGTATTAATATATTAATACAATTATATTTCTAGGCTCCATTACAGATCTGGCCATTACCAGTAGATAGTTGGTACACATCAAGCTACATTTAAAAGCCATTATATAAACTGCAACTGCAAAATAAGAATGCATGAATAGGTTGTTGTGCAGGAAACACCAGCATTTACATGTGCAAAAACTGCCTACGTACATACGCATATGCAGGTACAATTTAGGTTTCAGTTTTTGAAAATCTGGTTCAGTGTCCATTGCTAATAAATTCTAAGATAGTATATCTTGAGTAAGTTCATCTAAAATTCCCCATTTCTCCTCTCTATTCAAATGCTTTTCTGCTTCAGTTTACAATGGAGTTAGGGTCCTATGTGGCCATCAGAATCTGTTACTAAAGACAATGTCAGAAATTCAGTTTATGACACCACCACAGGACCAAACAAGAGGAATAAATGGTCTGAATGAAAACTTTGTTTAAACCCCACTGGTAAAATTCCGATTCCTTTTAATTATGGTAACCATTTGTCCCGGGCAAACCTGAACGCTCCCAGCTTTGGTAGTCTGGTCCCAGACAGTTGGTCAAAGATCCCAGAGAAGAGTCCAGCATGGATGCAGAGTGGCATGGTGTGCCAGGCAGGTGGTCAGGCACTGCAGCTGCTGGTGCCTGCCTGGCACACCATGCCACTCCATTCCACTCTAGGACCTTTGACCAACCAGCTGGGACGCCCAGGATGGATGGTCACTCTACTTTTAAGTGAAAGGGAGAAACTGAACAGACTTTAATAGGGCCAAGATTATATGTAAAATATACACAGAGGCGGCTTAAATTGTAATGCTTTCCACTGCCACTTTTACTTATTCTGAGTTATTTGGAGTGAAATCTTGGCCAGTTTTCCCAGTCTGAAAGAAAAAGAAACAAACAACACTTTACCGGGGTATTCTTTGAAAATATTGCAAATGCCCAAACCAAAGTGCTTGAGCTAAAAATTCTCATTACAAAAAAATTCAGTAGTTCATTTGATAATTCACTGAAGGCAAAATGCTGCATTTCCAAACAATGTTATTATTTTGATAACCCAGAAAATATCCTCACAAAATCAAATTCTCAATTTCTGGCTTTGATTGATCTATTACGTTGTTGTCAGGAACTTATGGTCCCATGCCAGTCCAGGGGTATAACCCACCACAGAGACTGACAGAATATCCTTTCAGAAAGGAGGATGCCCATAGCTTTCAGTAAGGCAGATACCCTTTATGTGCATGAGTGTAATGGTCTTTTCTGTCAATACAATTTTAAAAATCTTGGCTCCAAGGATAGAAGAAACCCAACTGCTTGGGAGGTTTGATTTTTTTTTTTTTTTTTTTTTTTTTTTTTTTTTTTTTTTTTTTGTTTTCCTGGGGGGGCGGGGGGGTTGGGATTTGTCTGCAATATATTCCCACATACTGAGGTTTTTTCTTTTGCGATCATAACTCAGTACATGCAAAAAGCCCCTAAACACTGCGTGCTCTTGGCTGCTTCATGTTCAACCATGATCAAATGATCAATACAGTATGCAAGGTTTATATCTAGACTGTATCACACTATATCCAGGCATACCCTATGTGCAAGCTATAGTTCTACAAGGAAGATGCGCTAGCACAGAGTCTGATGTATTTGAATGCATCTGAGAGTTATACAGGCAGCACATTACTCATCCATAACCTGACTACAGCTTCCATGCTTTCCGTGAAAGAAAAACGATAGCTGGCATAAAATGTTAGCATACCCCACTACCTTTTTATCTTTGGGACCAAGTTGCAAGCTTTTAAGATCAAATTCCTCTTCCCCCTGTCGCACACACACACGTACGTGCACACGCACGTGCATACACACTCTCTCTCTCTCTCTCTCTCTTCCTTCAAGTACAGTACTTGCAGTTCTGTTTTGAGAGTCTGAAGATCTGATCTGAAATGGTGCCACCTTCACAGAAACCCCGCTACTCTGGAATGATACCATCTGCCACAGACCAAGCTCTCTTTTTCAGAGCAAATAATTATAATAAGGTCTTCCATAATTGTGCGGGAATAGGGATAGAATCTGTTCTGAAGTGCCAGCTAAGGTTTGCCTAGAAATTTAGTTTTAAATTTAATCCCCTTTTCACAAAAAGGTTAAATATCACAGACTTGGAAACTAGGTATAAGTAGTTTTTGCTTAAAAAGTTTGAAACACTGTATAGGAAGCATGTTAAACTACAGATGATTTATAGATGCCCATCACTTAAAAAAAAAAAAAAAAAAAAAAAAAAAAAAAAAACCCCCCCCGAAAACCCCTACTTCCACAAAAAAAGGGGGGGGGGGG